GCTTCTGCATGCTTACATGTGCACACTTAGCCATGGTTTGGTTTTAGAGGTATGTGTGAACAGGCCCTATGTGAATATTAGTTATGTTTGGTTAGCATCAGAAGCTGAGAAATTACAAACAGCTTATTTGAGTAAAGAACTGCCATTGGTCATCCATCCAGGTTAAAGGCAAATTTAGATCATTTTAGCATTAGAAGGGCAACACTTACTTATCTTTAAAAATCCACCCAGAGGCATGGAGAATTTTCATCAGACAAAGCTGGATGATTGGAATTCAGTGTACTACCACCTTTGGGGGGGTTCCTGCTGCCAATGGTTTTAAACAACAGGTGCTTTCCTGTCCTAAAGGCAAGGTGCCATTCTTTAATTTGAGGTTATCCTGTCACAATTTTTCTAACTTTTTTTTTTTCATTCCTTTCAGATTGCAAGCCTGAGGGCAGATATTGTCTTAACATTGACATTTGTAAGCCACTCCGGGGGTTCTTCTTTGGCTGAAGAGCAGGATAAAAATGCTTTAGATGAATAAAGTTATTTTGAGGGAGATAAATCAGTGTTCCGGGTGCAGTGGTTGCACCAATTGGCCCTATCCTGGCTACTGTGGATAGGGGTGGATTTTAACAGCTGGCTGGCCCCATGCCTCCAGGCTGCCTGGGGATGGCTGCTTACCCTCTTCGGGAGTGGGTGGCACTTACGGCCCCTTGCAGGTCTGCTGCCATCCCTGGGCAGCCTGGACATATGGGCCAGCCAGCCATTAAAATCCATCCCAGCTGCCCACAGGGCAGGGCAGGGTTGCCCTCTGAATCCCCAGTTTTTGAACCAGCCAGTCAGGAGTCCCCTGGCAGACTGAACCTTGCTGGCGGACCTTGAGCCAGAGGTTTCCGCTCAGATCTGCCAGCGACACATAAAAGCCGATAGGACAAATCCTTTACAAGCAAAGGCCCCAGTTTCACTCCTTGCCCTCTCCAGGTAGGGCTGGGAACCCTGCTCCCCCTGAGACTGTATGCACACTACCAGTTTAAGATGCAGTGGGGCCATTCTGTTTTCTCAGTTCGGATAGAAATTGGTTTAGTGGGGAACACATCCATACAAAGCATTTCCTAAGATATGACAGGATGGATGTGTTCACAGGATGTTCACAGACTGAAACCCTGGGGAGCTGCTTTCAGATACTGGAAATGAATACAGTGGAAACAACTCCAATGGTCTGACTCGGTATAAGGTGTTCTCCCTGTGATTACAATTCACATAACACGCAATGCTTTCTGACAGAGTCATTTCACGCAGTCAGCTGAGCCTGTCTCATCATGCTAAATAAGAATAGGTTGTACACACATGTGTGAACCTGGATTACATATGTGTGTTGGGGAGAGGGAAAGGAAACACAAATATATTAGAGAAAGAATCACAAAAAGGCCAGATTCTTCTCCCTTAAAGGTAAAGGTAAAGGTACCCCTGCCCGTACGGGCCAGTCTTGACAGACTCTGGGGTTGTGCGCCCATCTCACTCAAGAGGCCGAGGGCCAGCGCTGTCCGGAGACACTTCCGGGTCACGTGGCCAGCGTGACAAAGCTGCATCTGGCGAGCCAGAGCCGCACACGGAAACGCCGTTTACCTTCCCGCCAGTAAGCGGTCCCTATTTATCTACTTGCACCCGGGGGTGCTTTCGAACTGCTAGGTTGGCAGGCGCTGGGACCAAGCAACGGGAGCGCACCCCGCCGCGGGGATTCGAACCGCCGACCTTTCGATCGGAAAGCCCTAGGCACTGAGGCTTTTACCCACAGCGCCACCCGCGTCCCTTTACACCTATGCAACTGCTGAACGCAGGCAGTTTTTGTAAATCCATGATACTATGCTTTTGGGATTTGGGTGGGGGTCAGCTGGTCACGAATCAGAATAACCTTTCATGAGTTCTTTCATCCTGCCTTTAAAGTTGCTTTCCTCCCTACCCACTTATGCTAACATTCAGAGGCAATCAGCAAAATAATAATTTCACATTTTCAGGCCATTACATTATGTGTTGCTTTTGTCAATGGTAACTTTTTAAAAAGGTAAAATTTCTTTGCATATTGACTGCCAGCCCTGCACAGATGTAATGGCATCAGCCACTGCACCACATGATGAAATAAAAATTAAATTGTAGTTGGGGGCTTTTAAATCAACTCAATTAAAATAAAGAGATTCTTGGCTTGATATAGGGAAATATTTGTATTTCCAATTCTATTTGTTAATACATTGACATATGTGCTATTTTTTAAATGTAGCACTAAGTGCACTTTCTGTCAATGCCATAGATTTTTTAATAGACTGAGAAAATGCATTTCATTTCTTCTTATTTTCCTTCAATACATCATTTGGTTCTGCTTTTTGCCTGCATGAAATTCATTTTCTAATGGAAATATTTGTTTTGTAAATCAAATATGTATTATGCACAAAATGCAAAGCACAAATTAAATTATGTTAATGAAATGAAAGAGATATGAAATGCATATTTCATGGACAAAACATAACCTCAGCAAACAACCATTTCTTGATAAAATCTTTAAACACAATCTCATTCTGTGACAGACATATTGTTAAAGCAGATAGCACCTCATTTAAATGGTTTCCTTTAATATTAGTGCTTAGTATATAATTGTAAATAACTTTTGGGATGAAAAACCAATAATGAAATACTGTCTTTAATAGTTTGCTATTGATGTCAGCATAAAATTTGTAGTAGTTGAATATTGGAAATTGGGAGTGGAACACAATATAGTCAAAAGCTGTAAATGATTGCATATTTAAATAGAGCTGACTAAGGCAAAGATGTTATAGATATTAGTAATAGGCAGAAAATTATGCTGACCTAACATTATTTGACAAAACCCACTGTTTTAAATTATATATTGGTTACACTTAATGAATAATAGATTTTGTAGGTGTTGTTTTTCTGATCATAATGCTGATGATACCATATGCAGGATATTCCTCAGTCATCTATCTGACAATAAAACAGGTGGACATCACAAAGGGGACCAGAATTTAATATATGCATGCCTCTGTATAAATCAATGATGGAGCCACACCTTTGTGTGCTGCTGTATATGGCTCTAGACAGCCATGTGGGGGGAAAAGATGACAGCAGAACGACTAAAAAGCAGGGAGGGAATCAACAAAGATCATAAGAGAGTGGGAAGAGATTACTCCAATGCAAGAAATGGCTACAAAGGGAGGATTCTTCAATAGAGGTGTGAAGGGGAATGATGACAAGTATAAAAATGATTAGGATTTAAGATTGGTATGGGAATCGGGGGAGAATAACTCCCCACCCCTGAAAGTGGATGCATTAGCCTTCAGCAGCAAAGCGATAAGAAGTGCAGTTTTCCCTTACCATTTTGGACCATTTCGGATAACTTGGAATAGATGTGTGCCATGCATGTGTTATCAACTAAACACCTGGCATGTGACCCATCGAAGAGTGACTTAGAGGTGTGGGCTGGCTGGAAGAGTTAGTTTCTGCTCTGTGCAGGCTCCCAGACCTCATCATATTTCAAGGATGCTTGAGCTATGATTCCTGTATTGCAGAAGGTTGGACTAGAGTACCTTCCAACTGTACAACTCTATGGTCTCAGTTGGTAGTGGACTCTCCTACATTGGAGGTTTTTAAACAGCATTGCAGGAATTTGAACAAAATGACCCTTGGGGTCTCTTCCAATTCTTCAATTCTATGATTCTATGATCAAGAATAAAGCTTCATTTGCAATTAGCTCAACCTACAGTGCATTCATACAACCGCAGCAGAAGACAACATTCAGCCAGTTCAAAGCACATTGCTTCTTGCAGAATAGCAAAGCAGCTTGCTTGTCATCACATGGCCAAGAGTGAGATGAGGAATTTTCCGGTCAGAGTGAGATGAGGAACTTTCAGGTCAGAGTGAGATGAGGAACTTTGTTCACATGCCTCATTGCAGGTTTAACATCCATTTGACCAAGCAGTAATGTAATGATCCAATGATCCAATGGCCATTGCACTGCACTGAACAAGTATGACACACACTGAACTCTCTGTGAGCAAGTTGTAGTCATGTTTGGTCACATGAATTGGCTCTACCTGGTTCAAAGGAAGCGCCTTCTTCAAGCCCATTGGGAACAATGGTTAAATACCTGGAATGACATTATGGCTAGACCATGCTGGAATTAGAACATAAATGCATTTTTAAAAGGCTATCACAATCATTGCCACCTGTTAGTAGGAAATAGCAATGATACTTCGTTTTCAAAAATTAGACATCTTCATGGAATAGCAATTAACTAAGGGGGTCAGTGCATTCTCCTCTTTCCAAGAATGCACTTAGACCCAATATACTGAGAGAAGGTGGGAGTGATCAAATTGACAATAGCTTTTCTGTACTGTTCTGTAAGTTTTCCCCACATGTCCACACCAGCCCACTAGTTTAATAACACAGGCTATTAGGGATCAGGGCAGGATGGGGAGGTAGCATTGGATTAAGTTCTCATTGAAAGGCAAATTCACACTTTCTGAAAGGATATAAGAACCAAAACACACCCATCCTTCAAAATTTGCACTTATTCAAATTTTGCAGCAGTTTTCTACCATATGATTTTACAAAAATGCTTATAGTACGGGGAAATGTGCATACAAATGAACATGTTCATGAAAAGAACATACAAAAATACATTGTATTACCAGTAGGTACAATCCCTGACAGAATGTATACATGAGTCAAAGTTGCAGACAAAAATGTGTTTATTAGGGGGGATTTGCACTAAAATGCAGGTGAATTTTTATGAGGATTTTAAAAAAAAAAACTTGCAAAATGCTGTAGTAATGTGGAGAACTGTGCTTCAGAATAATAATAAAAAAAACGGAAAGAAGCAAAATTGACAGATATATAAAATATTATATTTGCTCATCATAGAACCAAATGGGATTTGTTTGTGACGTGGCTAGCTGGCTCTATGTGAAGTTTACCAATAAAAATTGTGTTACTTAAGTACTCACTGTGGTCCTAGTGATCTTTCCAAACTGGGTTCAGGTCTGGTTGACGGCACGAAATGATTACTTGAACTCAAAGATATAGCCAGCAACAAACTGTTCAAGTCTGAAGAAACAAAATAAGTAACAATTTATTGTTTTAGTGCTGTAATACTGCAGGGAATTATTTTAATTCACCTTAGTCTATTGATTTCAGGGTGTTTTTTTTAACACTTTGAGGTCCATACATTTAGGACCCACGCTTTTTGTGTTTGTAAGTTGTTTTTAACTATTTTACTATTGTGTTTCAATGTTTCAACCCTCCCTGGGAACTTAGGGTGAGGTGGTGGGGGAGGGGGACAACAACATTTTACTACTGTTGTACATCATTTTGGTGCTTCTGGTGGAAAGTGTTTCTAAATTCTGTTAAATAACAAATACTGTTGTTTTCAAAGTAAACATCCCACAAATCCTGAGGCAAAGTGCCTCCTCAAGGAGAGGCCAACCTGAGGACACAGGCCCATGTCGAAAGCCAGCTTTTTAAGCCCTCACAGCAAACACCTAGGCATTTACTAGGCCTTTGTAAACCGCTCTGAGGGTTTCTACAAGCAAGCGGTATATAAACTTTACAAAATAAAGATAAAATAAATACTAGGCCTCAGAACGACAGCGTTTCCATCAACAAAGACAGTGGAAAGTTGATCTCAGTACTTCTTTCCCCATGAATTTTGTTTGTGTGAGTGAGAGAGAGAGGCAAATGAACACAACACTAACAAAATACAGTGATACCTTGGGTTAAGTACTTAATTCGTTCCGGAGGTCCGTTCTTAACCTGAAACTGCTCTTAACCTGAGGTACCACTTTAGCTAATGGGGCCTCCCTCTGCTGTTGCTGTGCCACCGCTGCACGATTTCTGTTCTCATCCTGAAGCAAAGTTCTTAACCTGAAGCACTATTTCTTGGTTAGTGGACTCTGTAACCTGAAGCGTATGTAACCTGAAGCGTATGTAACCTGAGGTACCACTGTACAGCCATTCAAAGGAAAGTTTATGCCTCCCTGCTGTAAACAGCACTCTTAAGCCCCAACCTGACTAAAACTGTCCTGAGGCCTGTTCTGATGAAGAATGACTCAGGCATTTTCTTTAAAAAAAACACCAAAAAACAATTTGGGCCTATCCAGGGGCTTTCTTTGACAGAACACTTACAAGGTAGCTGGACTCAAGTCTGGGAGCCAAATGCGGCCCGCCAGGTCTCTCTGTCTGGACCTTTGAGCTTTCCCCAGGTCACCACACCACTCCTCACCAGCCCTTCTTCAGACCCCATATGTGTTTGTTTGGCTAGTGCATCCTTGTACTCTGATAATGCTGCTGGCTTCTCTGGATGCAGGAGAGAGAGGGGTGTGGAAGAGTATGTGGAAACTAGCCTACACCACAAAGGCAAAAACAACACTTTTGCTGTGACTACTTTTGCCTCTGGTCCTGCCCACCACTACCATGTGGCCCTCAGAAGGTTGACTGGAACAGACCATAATCGTAGAGCTTCGGAAAAGCTCCCCACCCCTGCCTTACAAGCCGGGCATATCTGCTTATATGTGAAGAGCAGTTGGGTTGTTGTTATTTAAATACCACAAACTGAGGCCTTCACCTCCTTCCAAGTGATGGTGCTTGAAACTTGTGCAAGTTTCTGGATAATTTTGCTGCGTTTGGATACCACTCAGTAGCCACACCAGGCTAGTTGGAGACTGGGGGAGAGATAACCCACCATTTGCTACCACAACAAAAGATTTCTAAGTTGAGTTTATTATTATTATTATTATTCCTTTTGCCCTCGTGGCAGCACTTCAAGATAAGCCAGGGAGGTGTAGCGTCTTCCTGCCAACCTCGCCCGCTGCAGTCTCCATTCTCTCATCACAGACAGTGTTTTTCCACCCACATTTCCCGCCACTCACATTAAGAATTTCCCCTCTCTGCAAGAATTCCCACCCCCTTCAGACTTATATTAAGGCTATTGGAACAAGCACTGAGTGCTAAAAATGAAAAGTATGTACATGAAAGTTGCAGCCCAAAAGCAGCTAGTGGGCTACAGGTTCCTTGTTCCGGAGCTAGAGGGAACTTGGAAAATTATTACTCTTTATTTTCTCTGGCTGTGTGGTGTAAGGGTTCCTGGTCCTGCAGGGGCACCTTCTTTTCAATGGCACAGTGCCGAGGAATTCTGAAAAGCCTAGGGGTGCTGTGTAACTGCCTTCCATCCCAGGGATTTGCAATTGGGTCCAGGGAAAGAAGAAAAAACACCTGAATTGGACTAAAAAAGATCACTCTGCTGCACAAAAGTCTACCTCAGTACACCTGTTGACTTATACCATGAACATTTTATTTATTTATTTATTTATTTATTTATTTATTTATTTTAAAAAATATAGACCACTATTTCATTTAAAAATATTGAAGCAGCTCTCTCACACACAGACAAATACATTAAAGAATACAGTAAAAACCATATTAAAAAGTTAAAAACAGATGCCAATTAATCATTGTGGAAAGATGCATTATTGATTACCTGCCTAAGGTCTGACGGAATAGGAAAGTTTTCAGCAGGCGTCTAAAAGTTGGCACAGAAGGTACCTGCTGAATCTCTAGTGGCGGAGTGTTCCACAGGACTAGGCTGACGACACTAAAAGCTGTGTGTGTGTAATGAGCCTTGCCAACTCAGGGAATGGCTCCTGCAGATGTTCTCGGTGATCGAGGTGGGATAGATTGTCGTCAAGAAGCTGTGAACAGATTCCACCTGTAGATAATAGAGAAAGGTCCCATCCCCCCACTCTCATAACACAAGAACTCATGGAAATCCAGGAAAGAAAGAATGTTGGGAAGATTCAGGACAGATAAAAGGAAGTTCTTCTTCACACAGTGCATTGTTACATAAGGCAGTGATGGCCATCAACGTGGATGGCTTTAAAGCAGAATTCAAAAAGGATAAGGCTATCAATGGCTTCTAGCTGTACAATGATTATGTATTACCTCCAATACTGGACGCAATATACCTCAGTATACCTGTTGCCGGAAACCACAGGAAGGGAGAGTGCTCTTGTGCTCAGGCCCTGCTTGAAGGGTTTGCGCAGGCATCCAGTTGGCCACTAGGAGAACCGGAGGCTGGCCTAGATAGGCCATGGCCTGAGCCATCAGGTGCTTCCAATGGATGCCAATATTTCTTTGTGATCAGTTGTCGCTTGGGCTCTCTCGCCGGCTCCACGCTGTCTCTCGCTATCCACCTCTCTTTCTCATCTCAAAAATAAGGCATAAACTCTTGAATTAATTCCATCTGACTTTAAGGGCAATGAAGAGCTTATTAAAATCACCAAAGGGACATCTGTCTCTTTTCCTTGCTCCTATTTTTATCTGCAGCGCCATGGAAGCGAAGGAACATAACGTGCGAGTAAAAAAAAAGGGAAAGAAAGATACCCACAAGACTAACATTACACCGAAACAAGATCATTGTTATGATCTGGAAGATGCCTGCAATCTAGCAGGTGATAAATAGATGGAAGTATTTGTTTAAACTTTCCTTTATTCTTGAAAACAGGCAGACACACACAAAATAGACAATTTTAAACTGAATTTATCTCATTCATTAGACAAGGCATTTACATATTTTATTAAATACCAGAGGAGACAGTGGAGATTCTAATGATACATTATTACAACTGTTTAGTTCCCCCACCCCCATACACACTTCATTTTCAGGAAACAAAAAATTCTATCAACTTGTCCTACAGTTAGTTGGGATTCTCCCCTTTCTCTGATTTTAGTCAGCGTCAAGGAAAGGTTTCGGAATGTATCGAAACAGAAGACAAATGCATTAGTGCAGGCATAGGCAAACTCGGCCCTCCAGATGTTTTGGGACTACAACTCCCATCATCCCTAGCTAACAGGACCAGTGGTCAGGGATGATGGGAGTTGTAGTCCCAAAAACATCTGGAGGGCCGAGTTTGCCTATGCCTGCATTAGTGCAATCTAGTCAACGGTTGTTGACTACCATTGTAACCAGACTATTGCTTCCCTTCCACCTCAATAAGAACATCAGAAGAATCTGATCAGGCCCACCAAGTCCAGCATCCTGTTCTCACAGTGGCCTGGAGGAACCCTGCAAACAGGATTTGAGCACAACAGCCCTATCCCCTCCTGTGGTTTCTAGCACACTGAGGCTGAGGGAAAGAGCTACCGGGCTTACTCTGAGGTAAGAGTCTGAGCTGGGGCTTTGAGGACTTTCCATTATTCTGCATGGTATGGGTTAACCCCATTCAGGCCTTCCTGCTCATTGCTGGAGGGACATGTCTGGAGCAAGTGAGACAATCCTAACCCTAACCTCACTCACAGATGCCTCACAAACCATACCTATGTTCACACACACCCCTCTGTAAATAAACCAAAGCTTTTGGAGAATTGACACAAACTGAGTATAATACTATTAGTAAGCACAGGAACAGGAACAATAATAATAGCAATAAATGAATGAGTAAAGTGCACACTCCCATAGTACATGCAGTAACGTGCAAAACATTTTTGACTAACATATCTGTTTAGATGGGTTAATGGTTGGTGGTTTGATTTGCAACGAATTTTAAAATGTAGTATCCATATCATCAAAATGGATTGTTTATCTGCAGTGCCATTTTATGTTTTGAAACGAATTAGCATTTAGACAGTTTTTGAATGAGCACTTGTCTCTTATTATTGACCAGATCAAACCTGTTTCCCAAATTCACCAGGTGATGAGTAGGGATGGGAAAAGACACCGTTTTCCATTGTGCCCTGCAGCACTGTTTCCATTCCACTACATTTCATCTTCTGCCCAACTGTCCACTGTGGCAAAACTACGTAACTTACACAATAAAGTTACATTGTCTTTATGTTATTTCTCCCCATTCATTTCGGTGCAAAAGAAAAATAATGCAAATAGGGCGAAATCATTTGCAGACCAAAAGCAGTGAATAGCATTTGTTGGATTGACTTCCATTCTAGGAACGGCACACAAAAAATGAACACTAGTGTTTTTCTGCTTCAGCATCTCTAGCAATGAGGTCCACAAACCCACACATGACAGGGCCGTCTTTAGCATATGCGGTGCTGGGGTGCAAGAAACTGCCCAGCACCTCCATTTGGGGGGGAGGCCAAAGCTGTTGAGCTTTTTGCGGGGCACACAACTCTCTCCCCCATGCTTCTGCGGGTGGAGGAAGAGCAATCCCTGCAGAGGCTTGGGAGGGAAGCTGCATGCCCTCCAACCATATGGGTGGCAGACACAGAACTCTCCCCCATGCCATTTAGCAGCCTGCCAATCCCAGGCACGCAGGAGAGCAGAGCCAGCCAGCTGCCTCAGCACCAACAGCAGAAAAGCCTGCAGCTTTTCTGACAGGCTCTGCTCCTCCCAGCAGCGGCTGTTGGCTGGCCTGGCTCTTCAATCCCCAAACTACAAATCTCGGCCCCGGACTCTTGGCCTGGCGCCCCTGAGAGCCCGGCACCCTGGTGCCCCGCACCCCTAGCGCCTATGGGTAAGCCGGCCCTGTACGTGCACACCCTTTGCACTTGATGAGAGAAGGATGCGTATTTTAGCTCCCTATGTCAGAGCAGGTGAGAATTCACCATAGCAGAGTACCGTATTTTTTGCTCTATAAGATGCACCAGACCACAAGATGCACCTAGTTTTTGGAGGAGGAAAACAAGAAAAAAAAATTCTGAATCTCAGAAGCCAGAACAGCAAGAGGGATCGCTGTGCAGTGAAAGCAGCAATCCCTCTTGCTGTTCTGGCTTCTGTGATAGCTGTGCAGCCTGCATTCGCTCCATAAGACGCACACACATTTCCTCTTACTTTTTAGGAGGGAAAAAGTGAGTCTTATAGAGCAAAAAATACGGTAGTCAGATATCAATGGTGCATGTGGTATGTACATCCTGTAGTGATTCAAACATGGAAGTGGGGTGATTATATGCTCCAGGACAGTGAAATTTATACGCATGTGCAAAGCCTGTATACTAGACAGGAGGATTCTAGTCTGGAACTCTGTCCCATGACATGCTAAAGCGAGACATAGTGGTTAGAGTGGCAGACCAAGGTTGTGGAGGCTGAGATCTAAATCACCACTCAGTCTTGAAACCTACCATACATTTACAGCACATTTCCCTCCTGAAAGAATCTTGGGAACTCTGGTTCAGCCCTCACAGAGCTACCATTCCCAGCACCCTCAACAAACTACCACAGCTTCTACGATTTTGTGGGGAGTGTGCTTTAAATGCATAAGGTGTACACAGACTAGGTAACAGTGGGCCAGTTAACTTCTCTCATTCTAACCAGCCTCGCAGATAGGATGCTGCGAAGATCAAACAGGTGGGGCAGGGGTGGCAGTATGCTTGCCACCTTGAGGCATCTGGAATAGAAATGATGAATAAATGTAATAAATAAATATGCATGTGGATAAAAGCTTTAAGTCAATTGTAGAATGTGGTGGGGAGCTTAAGCTTAAATTTCCCCTCCCACATATACTTAATAAGA